TTCGTGCTGTCTCTACCATCGACAATAAAACATGTCTTCTGTCTGAATTTAAGACGCGATCCCAGACTTGGCTCATCTTCTTCAGGTGGTGGAGGATGCGGGCCTTGTCTGTAACATCTAGAGAACAGAAGACTACTTTTTGTTTAAAGTCATAATTTCAATATTTTTTATTTTTATACACACATTATTAACTAAACTGTTGCGTTCTAATCTTTTTTTAGGAGGAGGAGAGCGCAGTCAGGCCAGGCTCGCCTCGCACATCTTAACACTAGAACTTGTTGATTAGCATTTGTATAGCTCACAGCATTGTCATTTACATGTTAAAGCCTCCTGTGGAGGAGGGAGGAGGGGACAACAAACTACCGTCAACAGCCGAATCCCAGAAGTTTCACAGTAATATACAGGGCCGAAAAGAGACAAAAATCACACTTTTCACTTTTCTCAAAAAAAATATGACTTAAAGGAACAATATGTAAAAATCTGGCCAAAAGTGGTACTGCAGTCACAGTCAATATTTTGTAGTCCTCTTCCACTCTCCCTGACTCAGGTTGCCAGATTCACACCAAATCCAGCAGCAAACACAGGGAATTATTTTATCAGTTGTTTGTCCGTCTCCATTCACATTGCCATGACAGCCGTGCTAATGCTGAATGAATGTTTTGATTAATGTTTTTTTATTATTATTATTTGGACATTTGAGATAAAAAACAAAAGCAAAATAAAAGCAATGTAATTATACATAGTTTATGCAAAATAAATAAGCAATTGATGTCCAAAATAGGAGTGGGAAGAATGGATGTTGGAACGTATTTCTTCAGCGTATCAACATCAGGGTTTGCTCAAGAGGATATCACCTTTCAATTTTATTTATTCCCTATTTTTTAGACAAACATGTAAAAGTTCCACATCAAAAAGAGACTAACATTATTTTAATTGGGGTACATGTGGTCTTAAATGATTATTTTTACATTTAAGCTATAATCTGCAAAAAAAACGTCTTGACCTTCATCTTTTACCGTTTTTAGAGCAATCTGTCATAGAATGTGATAACATGCAATAAATACAAAAATACATAGCGCGGGATCGAACCCAGGTTCCTGCGTCGTAAGCGCACAGTTTAGACCACTAGACCAGGGGTTCACACGATCAGAGACACTGACTCAATTGTTCAAAGCCATCCCTATATAAATCCTCGTTTTAGTCTTTGTTTTGTCATTAATGATTTGAGAGTCATAACAAGACCTTTTTTTAGTTCTGCGCCACATGTTATTTTACCAATAATATCAAATATAATCAAATATCTCGGCCAGGTCATAGCCTTGAAGGGAGAGGCAACTGGCATATGATATCCCCACGGGCCAAGGGATGTCCACGTTAGCCTATATTAGCCTACTATTGTTAGGATTTCTATATCCAGTGTTTTGTCAAGGTGCCAATTGCTAATTTAATAAACATTTCCTCCAATGATAAAACTGAATGGATCTTGTTTGATGAGTATTGTGATGTATTCCATTGATTGCACACCAGCGCACTGAGCCAAAATGCGTCAGCGTCTCTCTCTCGCTCTCTCTCTTATTTACATCACGCCGTGTTTGAAAATGGCATTTATTTCAACCAATACTATTAAAACTTTGCTTAGCCAAACAGTAAATACCAGAAGAAGACCTCACTAAAAAATCACAAGAGGCAGATCGCTTTCAGAATGTCTTTATTTTCGAATTCGCATAGAATTCTATAGACAATACATAATTATTTTAAATATATACGTTAATGCAATTCGTATTATAAAGATAAAGATTATAAAGAAAGAAATAGCATTCAATAGAAACCTCGATAGAAACCTCAACCTTTCACCTCGATTTTTTCAGACATTAAAGACAAGATGTTATATAATAATTGTTTAATGAAAAAACAATTTTGCCACAAACAACCAAAAGATGTGCCTCAGACAAGAATCGAACCTGGGTTCTCCAGGTCCCAGTCTCTAATGTTAACCATTTGGCCAACATAGCACCTCTGGGCCAGACAGGTTTGCACGCAGTATGATACCTGAGCGTCTAAGTCGCTGGCAGAGCTAAAGCGGACTTAGCCTGCCATCTTGTGGCGATAAGATGTACTATTTTTCACGCAGCTGCGTGATTCCCGAGAAGCGTGAATGAAGACGACAAAACGGAATGGGACCTACTGTACCTATAAGTATTGATTTATTTGTGTGTAGGTAAATATTAGTGAAAATGCATTCAAAATGTATAGGTTCAACTTTAGGATTAACAGGCTGGGAGTTCAAGTTTACACTCACGTATGTAGCCACTCCCCCACCTCTGGATTCTCTGTCCATCCTAAACAGTGTATAGCCTTCTATTTCTACTTCATTGCTACTGATATCACTGTGAAGCCATGTTTCAGAGAGGGTTATTATGTCAGGCTTGTTGTAACTGACCCATGCTCGAAGAAGGACGATTTTAGATTTTAGGCTTCTGATGTTAAGATTAATTATTTTGAGTCCTTTATAGGATTTCATGTCTGTCATCCTGACTATTACCTAAGAACTGGTGGGTAGGATCTGGATTGGGCATTTGGTGTGGATAAGAGCATTGGTCTGGGAGTGAGCAAAACATAAAACAAATAAAACAGCAAACACACAACACATAACACATAACATAAAGAGCAGAGCATTAGGTATGCACTGTATGACCTTCATTTTTCGTTACTGTGCCAGACTGCTGCCATTGCAGTACATAAATCATAATAAACATTAAGAATCCACCTTAACAATGTGATCAGAGAGATCCACCTTAACGAAATCACATCAGGTTTTGCGACACTCGAGTTGTGGCAAATAACGTTCAGATCAGTCACGCTTGTTTTATTAATGAAAAACTCTTCAAAACAAAGGAAGGCAACGTGAAGAGGAGTCACATTTTCCGAAAGTAAATATCTTCAGCTCGAACAGGATAGAGTTACTCACGCAGTCTCATGGCGTTGTTGTCAAATCAAAGAAGTTCTCGGCATCTTTGGCGCAGAGGAAAACTTTGGGTTTGTCATCCACAGTGACTTTCAGGGTGCACGGATACAGTAATGAGTACCTGTAACCCAAGGCGCGGAGTTTCTTTTTGACTGCGTCAAATTGCTTGCGTTTTTTGACTAGGTCGGCGCTAAAGTCTGGGTAGATATGGATCCGTGTCCCCTCGTACTCAAGTCCCTTTTTTTCCCTGGCCAGTCGTAGTATTTTAGTTTTGTCCAGATAGTGTAGAAACTTGGCGATGATGGGCCTCGGCACTCCCGGTTTTTTGCTTGCACTAAAAGAGGGCGTGCGATGTGCTCTTTCTATCACCGGGGTTATGGTGAAGTTGTCACAACCAAGTAGGCCGAAGATCAACTTGGTTAGGAACCCAATCATGTCCTCTCCTTCACTCCGTTCTGGTACGTTGATAAAACGAAGATTATTCATGCGGCTCCTGTTCTCCGCGTCGTCGATCTTCTCACTCTCAAGTGTTTGCACTCTTTTCATCAAGTCGTCAACATTGTCCTCGTTGGTACTCACTCGCTGCTCTAGCTCAGATATCTGGTCACCGAGCGATGCAAGAGATCCTTGTATGTTACTGAGACATGAATGAAGAGGTTCAATTTTGGCATCGATATGAGCAGCCATTTCCTCCTTGCTTTGTTGGATCGCTGCAAGGATTGTTTGCATATGCATCTCAGCCATTTGTGACGCTTTGTGTTACACAAACTTTCCTGATCACTTCAATACTTGTTGAAATAATTGTATCTGTGAGGTGTTCTCAGGTTTGATGCGTTTTGGATCTTTAAATTAAGGCAGCAGTCTGGGACCTCCTTGAGCACAGCTAGTCCACTGCGGCCATATTGAGCAGTGTGGTTTTCGTGACAGCTCCCCTTGTCCTCCTTCGCCTGGATTACCCGGGACAGAGCCAGTGCAGGCAGCTCTCCCACAGGAGCATCCTAATTAGGCCATAAAAGCGCAGTAAGGGAGGGAATAAAAGAAAACATGGCTTTAAAGACTGTGAGACATAATTACAGCAAACGAACAAGATTAAAGCCAAGAAATGCAGTGCATGTTTAAGGATGCACACTTGTTTCAGCCTCCACAGCAGCCGTGTGCAGCTACCATGGGTTACGTAATCAATTGTGCCGAGTGTACACAAACTTTGTTCTCTGTATTTTCTTTGTTTGAATGTGCAAAACATTCTACGTCAAAAGAAACAAATCACGGGTTATTTTTAAATCCATGTTGCAACTGTTCTCTCATCAATACCACTTACAGTAAATGCCCCCATCTCAAACTCTATGATGAAGCCTCAGACAATGATGTTTTTTTCTACATCAACACTGATTTCTGTATTTTAAGATAAGATAAACCTTTAATCGTCCTTCAGTGGAAAATTTTACTGTTATAGTTGTAGGGCTGGGCGATATGGCTGAAAACTATAAACAAATTAAGTCATTCTTATCGGTCGATAACAATATATATAGATTGTTTTTTTTTGTGTTTTTTGTTTTAAACCTAAATAAATACGTTTGTCGTGTCGGCTAACACACATTAGCAGCCTTGTTTACAGTCACGGGGAATAAGGCTCGAGGAATATGTTCACCAGCAGTCTCCCCCATAGTTAGTCCTGGTTTAATCCTGGTTAAGCTTCTTTTTTGGCTGTTTTTGAGTGTCTTGTGTGCCCGTGACGGCTCCGTGCGACTCTCCGATCGCCTCACGTGCTTCCCGAGGAAAAAGTTTATCTCTTGCTTTCGGCGAATGCGTCGGGTTTCTGTGTCCACTGCCTTTCCTGCGCCGCACATGCACTCTAAGAAGTGAAAGAGTGATGTTGTGCACTTTATGTGAAATGGTTAAAGTGAAATTAATGTGTTTCTTATGTTTCTACAGAAAACATAACAATATTGCATTGGTATAACACAAAAGCAACAGATTTCAGAGCTAAACAGTACATATGTTTAAAACCAACCTAACTCTTTCACGTAAACAAAACATGTACGCAATGACGCTGTGACGCAATGACGCAGACATGCGTAGTTGTCAAGGTTGCCAGATGGGCGGTTCCTCGCATACTTTTGTTCCATGTATCTTGTAGTTAATTAATGGATAAAACGGCCATAAACAGTATCCTGATATTCTAAGTTGATTCCATAACTTTTTATCGCAAAAATATCATTTTGGGTGGTTTTTTGTTGGGATTCTCGCGGGTTTTGGGCAGGAAAATCTTGCCGCATCTGGCAACCCTTGCAACCGAGAGCTTGCCACTGACCGCGAACAGAGTGAGAGCCATTTGAAAAGACACAACTTCGAGTGGTCGAAAATTCTCGTCATTTTGGTAAGTAAGACGCTTCTTTGACTATACAGCATGAAACGGTATGGTGTAATTTTCAATAGTGGTTGTGTCTTTTGTCGTTAATTTTGGAACATAGTCATTGCTAGACTATCGGAGGTTTTCCATGGTAATGTATGATTTACTTATAACTAAACACATTATAATTTGAGCTCGGGCATTCAAGGTAAACAGTGTTAGTTTCTCTTTTTTCCAGTTGCGTCGAACAGTGACTTGCCGACCATGCTTTCGCAATAATGGCGCTGCAAACACAGCAGCTGATAGCTGCTAACAGCTAACGCTAGCTTCTGCCACATGCGGAGCTCCCCGCTAGTCCAACCTATCATTATGCCGCTAAATAAATCACCAAAATGACCTTAAGGGTCGTATTTCTCGCCTCAACTGTTGTTAGAAGTAACGTTCATGTCATAGTTATGATTATTGATCAGAACTTTCATATTCGACATGGATTCTGTTAAGCTGTTATTTAAATATTGTTGAATATATTGAATTGGCTAGCATTCAATCAGTACAAGGCGTATGCGCAGTATTGTTACGTTTTCACTCGAAATGATGGCTATGCCAAGGTTATAAACTAAGGTGTGAAGAGCTGTGTGTTACGGATAAGCGGGCCGTTCCGTGTTGCATGATTATCAGTGTCAGTGCGTGCACGGTAACCCGGAACGGTCCATTTTTCACCCGGACTATTTAAGTGGACAGACTTTCGCTTCCGATTTCTCTACAAATATAACAAAACATGTATTGGTTGTATATTTTTGTTATCGTAATTGGTTTTGCCTGTGTTTAAAGAATTATTTAAATTGGGTGTGTTTGATGTGGTAACTTCAGTATTCATTTAATTCTACTTGACGACGCGAGCAACATAAAGGTTCCATACTTTTTAGAATTTACAATACAAATTATTAAAAACATTTTAAGTTTAAATATCTTATCAGGATCTGAGGCAAACCATGGTGATTGGGACATGCTCATTTTCCATTAAAGGGTCTTGTTATTTTGGTTTGTCTTCAATTTGCATACCTTTTTGTATTCAAATGAAAGACTTTAATGCAGTTACTACAAAAACATGATTAGTATGGTGTAGGTGAATTGTAGAGGGACTACTACTTTAAATAAAAATGTAGTTAATGAATCTGAAACTATTTCTAATGTCAGTCTCTGTTTTGCAGGTTTTCAATGTGGAGGTGCAAGGAGTGCCCTGAGACTGTTATCTACGAGGTATCTGTTGCTTAAACACTACAAATTGAAGCATTATCATTATGGATAAAGACACTCGTCTCCATGCACATACTGTGGATCAATACTCCAACAAACTAATGAAGGTGTTCAAGAAGAAAGGAGGAGCAGCAGGACGCAAAATAACAGATTATGGTGGCCCTAGAACAGTGTTTCCCAACCTTTTTGTAGCTGTGGCACACCTTTTTGGTTGAAGACACTCACATGGCACACCACCGGCTGAAACTGATACAAACATGGAACTTTGTGCTTTTAGTATGAAAGCAAAGTCATTCAAATCAAGGTAGATATTAATAGAAAATGAAACGAGCCCAAAAAGTCTCTCTAATCTTCTCACATGATTTTCTTTTCACATTATTTTGACCAATTATGTGATATTGGAATATTTCCCAAGGCACACCAAACAACATCTCAAGGCACACTAATGTACCACGGCACACTGGTTGAAAAACACTGCCCTAGAAGAGGTGTGTTTTACATTGAAACCTTACTGGATAGTCAAATAAGTTTTACTTTCTATACAAACATAACAGAACATATTCTCATGAAAATTCTGAGCATTATTAAAGCTGCACTAACTTACTTTATTTTTGTATTCATTACGAAAATGCTATCCATGTCCATGTAGTGCATTGGGATATACGTCCTTTTGAAGAAAAAGTAGCGCAGATTTGTGCTGGCGTGACATATTTTAGATCGAGTTTTGATGAAGCAAGGAAGAGAATGTGTTTCGGGTCCCCACTTTCGTGAGAAATCTACAGGTCCGTTAGCACAGGCAGCTGAGTTGGCACAACAAGCGGCGGAGCTAATCTGAGACTTCGTCCTCGTCACCGGTTACTGCTTACACAGCCATCCAGAAGAAAGTCTCGTTCCTCTGCGCTTCCCGGTTCTATCGTTCTATGGTCACGCCGTCCAAGTGCAAATCCATGTCCATGTATTATCCATATTGGGAGATGCTAGCTCCGTCGACAACAGTAAATGTGTTTGGGGGGCGATACCTTCGTGAGTGAGGGGAGGGGAGCAGAAAGAGCGAGGCCAGTGAGTCCGCGGCTTCAAAATCCCAAAGTCAGTTAGTGCAGCTTTAACCCAACATTCTGACTTTTCTCAATATATTTTTTGAAAATGTAACACAAATATTACTGTATAACGAGAACACTTAATTGGTCTTTCACAGAAACCCAACATTGAAACAAGACTACTCTGCATCCTAAAGGCTTTGTGCGTGTACTTGAATGAAGACCCCGAGGACCTGGTTAAGACCTACATGGTGAGTTATCACTTATTTCAGCACACCTTTGACATTGCTGATATCTATAAATACATTCAAATCATGTTGTCACGCAAATATCTCCAAGTCTAAATAGATGAAGAAAGTTGCATGGCTATTTCAAACCAATTTGTTAAACTAAAACCTGGGCTGTGTAAAATTAACTTTTAGGTAGAGAGGTTGAATTTTTTTTATTTGCTGTATGCAGAACTAGATGTAATGATAAGAGTACAGTAAAAACAATAATAAACCTCTGCCACAAAGAAAAAAATTTCAGTATGCGCAGTAATGCAGAAATTAGATGGTAAAGACCTGGGGACAGCCCAGAACAACGCACTCAGTTGGACTTGTCTCCTGCTCATTTTCCAGAGGGAGCAATGGGCTATAGCAATAGTTATATAAACAGGCCAGATTTGTCACCACCAACAAAACAAACTGATTTGTAATGTAGACACTGAAGAAAAATGCAACAGCGCAACTCATAGGCCTACCTTGCCCAGCCTCCAATGCCTATACATTGTATAATCGATATAAACAATGGTGACAAATGTTCTAATAAAGACCCCTTATGAGTGAGAATTCACTAAACAGGCTTGTAGGGATGAAGTACTATTGATATTTTAACATTCATACTTATTACTCATACTTAGTGAACATTTTAAAGTATGAATACTATGTGCATAGAGCCAATAATGCTAAGACCAAAATTCACATAAAGATAAATATCTACTTTATTATGGATAATTTACCTTAAATGATAATGAAACACAATTGCTAGTCTAACTTTTAAAGGAAAACTAAACACCAAAACAACTTTTTTTAAACTCATAAACTGCATGAATGTTTCTTTTATAGTGCTCTTTATGTCCTGGTCCTGGTCTAGCTAAACGATAATCTTTAGTGTGTAAACAAGGATGGAATGAGAATTTCTGGTATGGAACTTTTGCTTTAATCCAGAATTGACAGCTGACAAGCAAGCAGTCAATCACAGCCCAGACCACGCCCAAATCTAAGCCCCCTTCCTGTCCCCTGGTCCTGCGGGCAATGCCCTTTTTAAAGAGAATTTTCAAATGTTCATGTGGTCGGAGTCAGGCTGGGCACAGGTGTTTAGTCGCACTTTAACCCACTCACCGTTGCACAAGATTTAGCAGTTGACTGCTGTGCAAAAGAGCGATGCTTTTTGGCATGGTAGTCAGAGCGTATGTACAATGGTTGTAGCATGCAACTACTGTAGCAGTGTGCGTTATTTTTGATTAAAATGTCACCATCTCACACCTTGTGCTTGATTTATAGGGTTTGATTTCAATATGGGAAAATATTAAATTGTAAATTGAAGCTTTCTATCTGCCATTCTTTTCTTTTAAGGATGCCGATGTTGGAGCAGAGAAGGAGTTTGAGAAAGTAGTGCTGGGTGTCTACATCGTGGAACATCAACATGCCGATGCATCAGACTCATTGGAGGACTTTGGAATAATCATCGATGGCATTGCAGTTCAAGACCTAAAACACATTCCAACTGGATGGCCGCTCCTTCTTGGATTAATCTACTGTCTGGACATGAACTCTCGAAAGGGACTCGGATGTACTTTTGAATTTATTCCAAAGGTATTAATGGAAGTGGACAGAAGAAAGCTCTCCAACAAAGTTCAAATTCTGAAAAACAAACTGCACGAACATATCTAATCAAGACTTAACTGTTTCAAAATGTGTTTGGACTATGTTTCATCAGTGGATATCACACCGTACATGCAACAGAGAAGAAATGGACTTTGTAGGCTGAAAAGACTCTTCGATATACATCCTGTACTATGTGTGTTGTGCTGTGCTCTTGAGACTAGCTTAAATGTACTCTTTTGAAAAAAGTATACACAGATGGATGGACCTAGACACACAGACGGACAGGTACACAGAGTGGAGACAGAGGGCCAGGGACACAGACTGATGGAGACGGACGGACAGGAACACAGACTGATGGAGACGGACAGACAGGGACACAGACTGATGGAGACAGACTGAAAGAGGGACAGGGACACAGACGGACAGACAGGGACGCAGATAGACGGATGGAGACACAGACGAACAGACTCAAACGGACCGACACTCACTTGCTCACTCACTCACTGCATGTTTTTGCATTGCTTCTTACTCCAGACGAGAATTTGGAAGTAGCTGTTAATTTCAAAGTTTAGTCCCAAATGTAAAAGTTAAAAGCAAATGTTTAGTTGGTCTACATACATTTGGTGGGTAGCTGTTGGGGTTTAGCAATTCTGTTGGCAGTCTTTAGCCAATTTTCAGAGTGAAAACATTAACTACACACAACCACTGTTATTATTTAAGACATTTAATAGGCAGTTCCTAGTGCTCTGCAATGTGTATTTACATTAAAGTGTTTCATGAAAAGTTACTTTGATTTAAATATGGGATCATTTATGCACTTTACATTTTTAATTAATTGTATATTTTTTATTTAAAATGTTTGAGTTGGTACATGTGTTAAATGGGTGGAGAGAAATTACCTGTTTAAATAAAAGCTTGAATATAAATAAGCACTTTATGTTGTATTTATTTAACTTAACAATGTAGCCATTACTACTTTAGTTTTGTTGAATCAACACAAGCCCACTACATAAATATAATTAATTTCTGTTAAGTTGATCAAACTTAACAGTGTTTGGTTGAACCAATGTGAGATTAGTAAATCCAACATAATGTTGTTGGGCTTATACAATCTAACACTGTCATGTTACTGTAAAGTGAGAATGTTGAGTATACTTTATCTAACATCTGGTGTTCAAATTAATTGTGATTTGCATTTCCAATTTAAACAACACAGTTTCGTGGAACCGGTTGCCATAAAAAAGTTAAGTAAAGTCAACATTTCATTTCTTACAGTGTGCTATTCCTCGAACGGAGGTGCATAACCATTGACACGGCATTGATACACGATCCATAGATCCATGGTGCATTTTTCCAGAAAGTGTTGCAGTCCATGATCGGCTGTGATAGGTCGAGAAGTCTCTGCCTACATCCCCCAGAATGCCGTGCGCTTCTGACTCAGCTTTACTTCCTGTTTTTTCTAACAGAGAGAAGTTAAACTATCGAACATTCTATCGATCTCGTTTTCTATTGATATCGAACATGTGTCTATTGCATAATATATCGTTATCGTTTTATCGCCCAGCCCTGTATAGTTGCACATCACAGCATAGAGCACCGATGGAGATGATCCACGACACTCAACATTCAACAACATTTATAGACATCGGTCATCTGCCTCTTATGGACCAATGGCTTTATATGTTTTTGTTATCATTGCATTTGTTTTGTTTGAATTGTTTGATTCTCTGATCTGTGCTGGCAAATTCAACGGTTTTGTTAAGTCCTCCAAGATTATTACTATTGTGATGATAGGGCAATACAAGAATACATTGAATTGAATTGAATTATTTAATTGCACTGCTTCCAAGAGACAGGATTAAACATTTTATGCCTCGGCTTTTAACACCGATCGAACTGTACTTTTTTACTAATTACATGTACTGTATATGTATGTGTGCCTGTGAAGCACTTAGGGCAGCTTGTGTTGTTGTAAATGTGCTATACAAACAAAGCTGACATTGACATTGACATAGACAATGACCACAGTGACGTTTTCTGCCAAAAACGTCACGATACACGACACGCTACATGACAGAAATACACTACTTTAAACCAGAGCAGAAGCGACGCCCACACATTGTTGTTTGGGCGTCATACTGTAGTGGAAATTAAATACTTCAATGAATGGATCAGAGAGAAAACAACTTGTTTTTGTGCAATTTATTGAAACGGTGATGAGAATAAACAATACAATAAAACTTTCTCTCTGCCCTGTCCACATCATTCATTTGATAATATAGTCCTGTAAGAAAGAACAAAGGACAAGGGGGGGTAGGTGGTTATTTGATTTACGCCGGAAGAAGAGATACTGTAGAAGACGGGAGGGAAAAAGATTCATTGTACACCTGTCATAACAATAACATTTTAATGAGCAAAAGGAGTGTACATGGCAGTGCCAGTCCCAGCTAAGGTCATGTGAAAGGGACCCCAGCACAGGAGGCTTTTGTTCAAATCGTCTCAGTGAATTTGATGCAAATGTTCAAATATGAATTTTACCATTACAATACACAGAGATGAAGAACACATCATCATCTTCATTTCTGTGGTCACTTATAACGTCCATTTGAGAGAGTCCCGAGAGTTTGCAATTAGACCGCTATAGCAGGATGTATTTACACATGTCTACCACTAGAGTGCTGCTCATTTGAGTCATCTAATTTTGTGTTACATGTTTACTTATTTTCCAGTTGATCATTTTGCATTCTTAAAACATTTAGCTCCTGATCCATGTCACAGAACCACACACAGTCTTTGTCAGACCGGGCAGAACCAGACCAATAAGGGGCAGATTGTCATGATGTGGATTTTTTGTTATTTTGTACTTGGTTTTATTTTGACTTTAGTTCTCTGTTGGTTTGGTTTTAGTTTTACTTCTTGTCTTGTTCCCCTGTCTTGATTGTCTGCTCTGTGTCTATATGTACTGTTGTGGATTTTTTCTGGAAAGTAAAGGACACATTAATGAAATATAAAATAAACATCCAAGAGCTGTAAAACAATCAAAGTGTGGTTTATTATCTCAGTAAATGTATATATATATATATATATATATATATATATACGGGAAATACAACCTTCAACCGCCTGGCAGGTCTCGAGTAGATCTGCTGACTAGTGCTCACTCTCTCTATTTATAGGATGGAACAAACAAAAGAGTCTATGGCGTCTCTGAGTCCGAGATTAATTGGTAACTTTCGCTCAAAACCCCCTCTCTTCTGACGTCTTACTCTGATACAACTCTGATATTAAGAAGAGAAATCAGTATGACCGGGGCACCCTGCTCCTCGGACCAGGTACCAAGCTAGCATCTCCCACTCTCCCGTCCTTGGCCTCGACGGTCCTACAGAACAACAGATAGTTAGCTTGACCTTTGTCCCACGGTACATAATTCATTAGATTCATTCTTAAGTTTAACCGATTTATAATCCCAGTTAGATTTCTACAACAGTACTCTGTGCTACTGTCCCCTTGTATTGTTTCCGTCTTTGTCCGTCCGTTATCCTGGTTCCTGAGTTTTTGTTTGGATTTTGAGCTTGTTTTTTACCTTGGACATTTATTTTTATCATCTTTATTAAATCATTATTTTCAGCCTTCCTGCAGCCCCCCTCCTTTTCACCTTATGACACAGTTGACCAATGTCCATAAATGTTCATAAATGTTGGTGAATGCCGAGTGTATACTCAATATGTGCACTTTCAAATAAAACGTTGGGTCACATTCATGTAAATTTGCGATTAATCCAGTTCGAGGTTCATTTATGTAATGCCGGATTTGAAACGCAAATTCTCTGGGTGGAATGTTGTCATAGTTGTACTTTAACTCAAGTCCATCATAGCTCCTGTCTGTTTAGTTATAAAAATAGGTCTTTTAGGCACAGGCCCATTCCCTTGTGCATATACAAGACACCCTGTTAAAGTGAGTTTTCCAGGCTTTTCCCTTCGCACCACAGGCTCGGCTGCTGCTCCCTAAGAGCCCTACGCTGCCATAATTACTCCTATAAAATATGAATGGGATAGCAGGAGTTAGTGAGTCTTGCAGCGGTGATGAATTCCTCCGTGTGTGTGAACCGTCTCCAGTCGTAGATCATCATTAGCCAGAATCAACACAGAGAGAATGTTTGAGTATCGTGTCAAGATGAGGGGACGGATGAGACCTGTGGCCTGCTGAGGCCTGCTGTGGACTCCCCTGTCTTTGGTCCAGGGACTTTCTCTATTTTTCCAGGACTTAGTCAGTGTCAAATAGATTAAAGTCTCTGAATATTGTAAAGCGCTTTGGGTGACCTTGGTCTGTAAAATGCTACCTACCTACTGAAGTTCTTCTCCACAGAGGTCTGCTGTCGTTGTGTCATTGGGCAAGACACTTAACCCCACTTTGATCTGAAGCCCCTACTGAAAGATCAAGGCTATGCTTTCACAGACAGAGCAGCCATCCAGTTTCCAGAAATTGATTAATGAGAAGAAGATGGATACTACTTCTCCCGTTATAAATGAGTTTTTGGTTACCCTTGTTCATTCATGTTTCTACTTAACATGACTGTAGCACCTGTTGACTGTCTTCATACTGTCAGAAATACAATTCCATCCATCCATTTTCTACCACTTTTTTCAAATCCATTCAGTTCAATTTATTCTTGTATAGCCCTATATCACAACAGTAGTTATCTCAGAGGACTCAACAAAACTGTTGAAATTGCCAACACAGATCGAAGACTGTTAAAACAATATAGAACAGGTCCATAGGGAGTTGTCCATGAATGTTGATAAATATCCATACATGTTCTTGTTAGACACTAACAGTTTAACAGACACTCCTGCATCGGCAAGGAAAAACTCAGTGGGAGAAAAGTGAGAAACCTCGGGAAGATCCACACGGACGGAAGGCCACGCAGCTTTATCCGTTGCCAGTTTGTAAGGGCAGCAGTCTAAGCAGATACATATCCCTGTCCAGACACTCTACAGTGTGTCCTGATTTTTTCACCGGGGTCCTTCTAGTGGAACATGTCTGGAACACATCACCAACATCCCAAACAGATGCCCGAGCCACCCAAACTGGTTCCTCTTGATTTGCAGGTGGCTCTACTCTGAGCTCTTCCTGTGACATCCCTTTCTCTAAGTGGGCACCAGCCACTCATTTTGACCGCTTGCATTGCGTCCTTTTGGTCATTATCAGAGGTGAGTGTGTCAACGTACTGCTGAGGCCCCTCTTTACCTAATATCTGGAACAGTCATCCTGAAGATGTGAGACAGGCCTCCTCTCTGACAATGTTTAAAACCAGGTTAAAGACAGTTCTGTTTAACTGTGCATACAACTGAAGGATTTTATATTTTATATAAAATCCCTTTCTTTTTAATGTTCTGTGA